TAATTAGTTATAAGATTTTACAACTTATTGTTAGTCTCATTTTAAGAGAAGATGCAATAAATAAATGTATATTTAAAAAAAAAAAAAAAAAAAATAATACCATATGCCAATACTGCAAAATATCTTGGTATAACGTTGGACGCAAAACTTCGGTGGAAAGACACATAAAAAAGAAACAGGACGAGCTTGACATGAAGTTGCGAAAAATGGAATGGCTGATTGGCCGCAAATCCACAGTATCTATGCAAAACAAGATTCTGCTATATAATCAAATTTTAAAACCTGTATGGTCGTATGGCGCTGAACTATGGGGGACCGCTAGTCAAAGTAACGTCGAAATAATCCAACGTTTCCAGAACAAGGTTCTACGGAACATTTTAAAAGCGCCATGGTACATTGGGAACAGCGATATACATCGCGATCTAAAATTGTCCACAGTCGCTGAAGAAATAAAACAGAAAGCAACAAGACACAAACTGAGGTTGCAGCAACATGTCAACATAGAAGCTGTTAACATCATAACTTCGTATGGACAACAGAGACGATTAAAACGGCGAAATGTCGCTGATATGGCATTGAATTAGAATGTGAAGTAATTTGTGTAGAAAATTGCTTATTTATGTATGTATAGTATTTATCAGATTCAAGCTACTCGTTATTTATAATGTAAATAGTTGTAGCAATAAAAAAAAAAAAAAAACAAAAAAAAAAAAATCTAAACTCACAAGAATGAGATTTGATCTAGAGGAATACGATTTTACTGTTGAGTACCTACGCGGAAAATATAACTATGCAACGGATGCACTCTCCAGCATAGAATTTGAGAACATAAAAATGGTAAAGGAAAAGTATCCTGAAAGTATCAAAACGGCTTCAAAGCAAAAAAACTAATGAGTTGGAAACAGAAAAGTCTATGTCTACGAGGCACCTAAATGGATGAAAAACAGTGCAAGAATTGTTTCACAATTCAATAAAATCCTAATCAAAAAAGGAAAAAAAGTAATAAGCACTATAAAACAAAAAGAAATTGCTGTTCATGGAAAAATTGATTTAGACCAATTATTTCTAAAGCTTAAATATATATTCCAATTTTCCAATTTTTGGAGGTCATCTAGGAATTCAACGCATGAATACCAAAATTGGTAGATACTTTTATTGGAAAAATATGACAGAAGGCACCCAAACATATGTCAAAGGCTGTCATTAATGTAAATTAAATAAAAACTCAAGACATACAAAACTACCAATGATATTGACTTCAACTCCACAAAATGCATTTGACAAAGTGGTGAAAGACACCATTGGTCCTTTGCCGCGAATTGAGTATGGCAACGAATACGCTGTTACAATGATGTGTGATTTAACAAAGTATTTAATCGCAATTCCTGTTACAATCAAAAATGCTGTAGTAGTTGCAAGGGTAATATTCGAAAATTGCATACTCATCAATGGACCCATGAAAACAGTAATTACTGATATGGGTACTGAGTATAATAATCAACTATTCAGAGAACTATTAAAGCTCCTGGATATAAAATCAATAACTTCTACAGCGTATCACCATTAAATGCTAGGAACTGTGGAGCGAAACCACATAACGTTCAACGAATATGTGAGAAATTACATTTCGAGCGAACGAGATGATTGGGACAAATGCCTTAGGTATTACACCTACTGTTACAACACAACACCTTCAACAGTACATGATTACTGCCCTTACAAATTAATATTCGGTAAGATACCAATCATATATGACTTCCTAAAAAAAAGCCAAGTAGACCTTGTCTACAATTTAGATGCCTACGATAAAGAAGTCAAATACATTGTGATCAAAAGGGAACGAGAATTTTAAGAATTTTAAAAAAGTCCTTTGGTGATTTGTGTGTGTCGCAATCACGAGTATACAAATGGTTTAAAAGGTTCAAAGATGGTCGTACAAGCTTGGACCATGATGAGATCCCAGGCCGCCCCACAACATCTGTTACTGAAGAAAACATTGAATCGGCGAAGCAGATCGTTGGGCATCTCATATGGGTCGGCCGAACACATTTTAACTGATGTTTTGGGTTTGAAGCGCTTCGCTTCTCGGCTGATGCCAAAAAAGCTGAATTTCATCAAAAAAAGAGTCGTTGTGATGTGGCCAAAGAGATGATTTTCAACGCATATAGTGACCCCACATTCATTGAACGCATCATAACTGGTGATGAGGCATGGGTCTATGAATTTGGTAGCCCACCAAACAACAATCGAACAAATGGTGCTTCGAAGATGAGCCGAAACAGAAAAGAGAACGCCAAAGTCGGTCCAAAATCAAGGTTATGCTGACTGTTTTTTTGATATTCGTGGTGTGGTGCATTATTAACTCCTTCCGAATGATCAAATGGTCAATAAGGAGCATTATTTGGCCGTTATGCGTCGTTTGCTTTAGCACATTCTCTTAAAGAAGACAGATTTATGGACGGAAAACGTATGGATTTTACACCACGATAACGCATCGGCTCACACAGCGTTGGTTGTGTCGCAGTTTTTGGCGAAAAACTCCACCAATATCATCAACCAAGCACCGTACTCTCCAGATATGGCCCCGTGTGATTTTTTCCTCTTCCCATAAAAGAGAACGCGCTGCGTGAACTGAGGGCCATACCTTCTGCGGCCTATAAAACTTGTATGGAAAATTAGATCAAGCGTTGGCATGCATGTATTGTGGCAGGAAGAGAATACATTGAAGGCGATAATAAAGAAAATTATTAAAAATTAGAATTTTGCGTTTTTATTTATATTCTCGTTCTTTTTTGATCATATATAAATTACAGATGGCACTAAAAAAACGCGCATCTTAATAGACAGGCATAAGACAATTTACGATAGGACTCTAATAAAATACAGATAGATACAGGAGTTTTATTAAATATTAGTAATCCAACTGGACATAAGTTAGGCAATAGATATAAGGGACCGTAAAGGGTAGTCAATAAAGATAATAAAAATAATGTAATAGTTACAGATAATGCAAAAACATGAGTAGTGCACATGGATGGAATAAAAAAAAAAAACAAAAAAATAAATACACAAATTTTTAAACTTAAATTTGAAAATAAAATGATATTTTTTTATAAATGTATTTAAATGTATTTAAATTAATAAATACCATAATAATCATTTTATACATTAATTGAATTCTTTTATATTTATGTTTTTAATGAACCTTTTAACAGCCGAGGTTTCGCTCGCCGGATCCCAGAGTCGTTACAAGAATATTTCTTTATTTTTTTATAAATGCATTTAAATGTATTTAAATTAAAATACCATAATAATCATTTTATACATTAATTGAATTTTTTTATATTTATGTTTGTAATGAACCTTTTTAACAGCCGAGGTTTCGCTCGCCGGATCCCAGAGTCGTTACAAGAATATTTCTTTATAACCCTGAATCTTTTCGTATAATAATTTTAAGACCGGTAAATTTTTATTTTAATTTCTTTACTTATTTTCAAATTAATTTTTACAATATTTATAACTTATTTTCTAACAACATATAATATAATTACAAATATTGCGAATTATTATAATTCCTGTAATAATAAAGAAAATCTGACCAATGGTGGATTTGGAACCAACAATACCGACAAGGCTGCGTTGCTAAGGAACAGTGTTACTGACTGGGCTACACTGGTGGACTTGGAACCAACGCTACCAACAAGGCTGCGTTGCTAAGGAACAGTGTTACCGATTGGGCTAGGAAGAAATGTTAATAAATGTCTTAGTTACCTGGTTGTATATTTTCTTTGATTCTGCCAAGTGTTCTGCTCCGTGGCCAGCGAACAAGTTTCTTTCTGTTGATTAACTCCTCCTTTTATATAAATCACGGAAAACGGGACTTCTAACTGCCGAGTGCACATTGTGTAGCTTTCTTCTATGTTGTGATTGCCTGTTTTAAATGCCTGCGGCTGGTATGTTTACTGTTGTTGTTTGCTGCACATTTATTAAAATTTTGGCAAAATAATTACACTCAAACAAAAAGAAGTGTTATCATTTAATTTATATTTTAAGAAGGATTACAATTTTCTTTTTTTTTAGTTTTTATTACATTAATAATAACTTAATAATATTGATTCTTCATGCTAACTTAATAATACCTTAATTTTAAAATTATTAATACCTTAATTTTATTAATACCTTATACTAACATTTTGTTTTGTGTTTATATTAACTAATTATAATTAATTTCTGTTCAACTAAAATTAGCTTAATTCTATTGATATATTGTTATTCTATTATAATTTTTTTTTTTTTTTTTTGTTTTACTAGATTTATATTAATAATAATAAATATGCATAGTGCATTGCGATTTTTGTGACGAGATGGTAAAAGTCGTCACACTTCCTCCCTTCATTGGAAAGGAGGAACGACCCGAATGGCACCAGAATTTGCTATTAACACCTTATGCTTCGTTGCTCCGCGTTGCACAAAAAATGTATGGCGACGACCTCGCTTTAGCTTTTGAGCGTCCTTTTTTATCTTTTCTCAAAGTTCTGCATGTGGTGGCTCTGGGGCTAGCAGTGAAATTGGTCGCTGCTGGCATATTTCCTGGAGCTCTTTCATAAGGTCTTCAGCGGCTGTGATATCTAAGAAGTGGGTGTCGTTGTTGTGTTTGCTGCTTGGTTTCTGCTTGCCCTTTATACCTCGGTTTTACTGGAATTCGCTCTTTTAAAAACTGGGCCCTAGGCTTGGCCCGTTAAATTGTTTTAAGACGCTTTCGGTATTTTTGAATACTGGTGGTGAGCTTTCCATTCTGTTCGGGATGATTTACTACTATTTTACTTGGTTTTAGAGTAGTGTAGTCTATTGGACAATTGCTGGTCCGCTATTTGATATTCATCTTGCTATGTCGCTTTATAATGTTCAACTAAATCCTCGTATAATTGTTTCCGCGTTTTATAGGAATTTTTATTCTGTAGATCTCGTTAATCCTGCTGCGGTGCATTCGGTATTTTAAATTATTCGTGGTAATATGTTTTTAGTTCGCTAATATGAGCTCTACTCTCTTTATGTGTTTGCATATGCTTGAGTTTGATAATGACTGGCGATATAAAATTGACCACCTGATTGGGTCCTGAGAACTTAGGTGCCAGTTTTGTAGCAAAATGAGCCTGAGCGTTGGATAGAGGATGCGTTTTAACTAAAACCATATCGCGAATCTGTGGTTTCCATGCCCTATGTCGTAAATTATATTGCTTGGCTTGGTCTTGGGAAGCTGACTCTAGGTTAAGTTTTACAATTTGTTGTATTTCTTGCATTTCGTGTAGCTTGGTTTCAGGGGGTATCGGTGCGCAGTTTATTTCAAGTGTGGTTTCATCGAAGAGTGCACTTGGGAGTCTGGGGGTTCTTCCGTGTATAATATAAGCTGGACTGTAACCCGTAGATGTGGATACACTGGAGTTGAGTGCTAACATTATTTCAGGTAGATGATCGTCCCATTTACGCTGTTCCTGTTCTGACACTTGTGCGATTATTGTTTTTAACGTTCGATTGGTGCGTTCAACCGGATTCTCTTGGGGAGTGTATGGTGCTGTAAATTGGTGACGAATTCCAAGGTCTTCGAGAAACTGCTTTAATGCTCTACTATTGAACTGTGATCCATTGTCTGTGAGTAGAACCTTTGGGACTCCAACTCTAGCTATTATATTTTCCCGTAATGCCTTTTTCACTCCGTTTGTTGTAGCAGATTTGAGGACGATAACTTCGGTCCATTTGCTGAACTTGTCCAAGAGAACCAATGCTACCGTGTTTCCTTTTTATGAGCGAGGTAGTGGTCCAATGAAATCAGCACAGAGTACTGCCTATGGTTCATTTGATATTTCCGTTAACATTTTTCCGAGAGGTTTTTGTTGACTTATTTTATACCGCTGACATGAGCTACAATTTTACACATATTTCCTAATATCCCGAAAAATTCCAGGCCAATAATATTTTGATATCACCCGAAGAATAGTTTTTTTAATCCCAAGATATCCGGCAGTTGATTTGTCGTGGCATTCCCCCATCACTCGTTGTCGCATTTCTGTCGGAACACAGAGTTTCCAAGAAGGAGAATCATTGTCTAGGTTGTTGCATAATATTCGCCGGTATAAGTTGCCATTCTCGATGGTGTAGTCTGGGTGTTTTTCTGGATCTTCTTGCACTTCGTTTATCCATTTTTGCAACCAGATGCACGATGTAAGAACCGGAGCAGTAGTTAGTTTTTGCTTCAGAGCGTCAAATGTCTCCTGTTGTTCTATCGACCAGATGCATTTTTTTCCCTTCTTTAGCAGTGCTGTCATGGGTTGGATCGTATTTGAAAATTCTGGCACGAATCTTCGATACCAAGACGCTATTCCTAGATATCGTCGTAGTTCTTTCTAATTTGTGGGAGGTGCTAATTCCTTTATGGCCGCTATTTTATCCGGGTCGGTGTGGATTCCTTGATTGCTGACAACGTGCCCAAGATATTTGATTTCGTCCATAAAAAATTTGCATTTAGGGATGTTGATTTTAAGCCGCGCCGCAAACGTCTCAATACTTCTTGTAGATGCGTTTTATGTTCCTCTAATGTGCGACCAATTACTATAATGTCGTCAAGATATGCGAAATGGCTCCATCTCACGCCCTATTACCTTATCCAATGCCCGTTGGAAGGTGGCAGGTGCTGAGTGTAGGCCAAACGGCATAACACGCCATTGGAACAGTCCTCTTCCAGGTATAGTAAA